CCAAAGTTTACTAGATTGGCTGGCCAGCAAGCTCTGGGATATGTCTCCTGTCATTCAGAGCAAGTAATACAGTCAGTGACCACTGTGGTGGGATTGGAAAAGCCAAGCACTGGTTGCTCTAGTGTCCTGGTTCTTCTCAGAGACAGAGTAGAATGGCCAAGGATGAAGGAAGTAGGGACTCAGAAAAAGGTAAAAACAGGCATTTGTTGAAGCATACCGTAAAGAGCAAAGAGATAAAGGTACCGTCAGGAAGACAGGGGTCTCCAGAGCTGGTAGACTACCAAGCGGCTTCTGGGCTGGTCCTTGTATAGGTCCCTTAGGCCTTTCTTTCCTTTGAGTCCTTCACCCTACACTTTGTCTTTTGACTGGGATGGCCCCCCCAGCCAGGATACAGATACCGAGAGAAGTGTCTTATCTGATTGAGGGCCTTGTCAGGTGGATAGTCTTATTTTTTGGTGAATGGCCTTGTTTTGACACATTCCAGGAGTTGAGTGGGAATGTCATCTCTTTCCATCCTTCTGACCTTTTCCCTAGCTTGATGCCCCTAGCTAATTCCCAACACTACCACCGTGCCTGGCTTAGGAAACAGTTTCAAAGAACCATTTTCCAGGCCCTGACCTGCAACACAGTAATATCTTTAAAGTCAAAATTCTCTAGCTCAGTCCAATGTCCTTTTCATGAAGGACTGCTGACTGGGGACAAGGCCTCACTCTCATTAAGGAGGTGTACCTGGTGAATTGTCAGGTATCACTTGGGGTGAGCTGTTGGAGTCTGCCTGCCTAGAGTTGCTTAAACTGCAGCCTCCTTGACAACTATTCCCACAGGAGTCAGGGGGATCCATAAAAAGCACTGAGGAGGTTGGGGGATAGGGTGGGTGGGAGAAGGCCGATTATCTTCTTTACTGTAAAAGCTCAGGGAAAGTGAGCAGTAACTGGAAAGTGGTTAATCCCTCCGGGAATTCTAAAGGGCCAGGAATTAACCTTGGCAGTAGTTAGGGCCATCAATAACCCTTTCAGGGAATGTTCAAAGACCTCAACTTTGTTTAGAGAACTTGTGTGGGTGGAACTTCCTGTTTGCTCAGAGGACGGGATAAAGCCCAGTTGCTGCGCAGCATGTTCAGATCGCCTAGGCAGCGCAGTGGGAGGAAGCCTGGCCTCCTCCTGTCCTTCCCACAGCATGGGGAACAGGCTGCTTTACTCAAGCCTGGCACTCCTCCTGCTCCTGGTGCCTGCAGATGCCTCTATCCCGAGAAAGCCAAAGCCGTGAGTTCCACAGAAAGCTGAAGCTTGAATTTTAGAGTCCTTAGATATTTCAGATTGCCTTTGACATCATTCATTCTTTCCTAGGAAACCATTACCTTCTATGTCTGAGGTGCCTTTCAACCGTGAGATTTTGTAAATTTGCCTTGCTCATTTCACTGACTTGTAAACATTTTTCCTGAAGTCTGGATTTCATAATAGCCAAATACCCTGGTGGTAGACAGCACCTTTCTAAGGCGCATGAGATGGATCCTGGTGTAAAGGAATCAGTTTCCAGATCCTGAGGTTCCTATGGATGTACGGAGATTGTGCTCTGTCCTTTCCATCCCTTTATAATAAATTCCTCATCCTCACTTTGTATTGTAAAGGCAGACCTCTCCAGATCTTAGTGTGGCACTTTGTCCTGGAATTAAACAATTTCTAGGAACAATTTGAAATGTGGTTGTTGATGATGAGAAAGTAAAGGACTTTATAAGACAGAGCAGTCCTTCTGCAGATCTGATAGTGATGAGCTTTCAGTGAAATGAAGAACCACAGAAGTGTGAATTGGTGGGTGACCAGACACAATTCTTGACATCACAGTTCTGACTGATTTAGGGCAGGAAATACAAAAAGGCAAGAAATGATGACAGCCACATAATTTTTTAATCTCCCATTTACTTATTTGTATGAGACAATTCTTTTTCTTAGTGTTTTTATTTACACAAAAGAAAAATTGCTGGAATTATAATAAATTTTATTTAATTCATTTAATGAGGATTATCCAACCATGGATGCATTAGTTCACTAAGGAGGGAGGCATAATTCTCACTAAAGATGTGTTTCAAAAATATTTTAAGTCTAGTGTGTATGAAGCATAATTTATATTTTTGTCAGATGTATATTAGAACTTCTGAAAATCATAAGAAAATATTTAACATTTAGAAATTTGTGGTTGCGTATTTAAAGAAGTTGTTAAATTTATAAACTCACATGCACTATTTCATGTGTATGGATGCATGTATTTATATCTGTTAATAAAAAAGTCAGAGTTATCTATAAGGTATTTTAAAGCATTAAAATTTCTATGCATTAAATGGCATGGAATTTAAGTTCAAAGAAGAAAAAAGGAGGAAAGACAATTTATGGTCATTACAAAAAGAACTTTTACAATTTTACTCATTTACTTGTTAGTTTTTTGAGACAGGTTCTTGCTGTGTAGGGCTGGCAGGCCTTGAATTCGTAATCCTCCTGCCCCACCCGCCACATTATCTTATAATATTTAAGATTCTATGAAGACATTATAACCTTTATTTAAGAGAAATCAAGCTTTAATTTAGGATGTTGAGAAATACATTTTCCTATTATTTACAATTATAATAAAAATAGTTTTATCAAAAGTATATAAGAGGGGCACAGTGTATAAAAATTATCTTGGGAGTTCGTGTTTGAAATTCCAGGGTCAGCCTTCAATTGTATGCCATGGTATTGGGAAATTTTCAGCCCTGCTCAAAGTTACCAGCAGACAGATCATTTTTGGTTGGAGCTTTCCTCCAGGTGCAGAAAGGCAAATATATTTGATGCAAACACCCAGGTTGGGTAACTCACAAAGACTGTTATCTGCTTACCATAACTGGGACTTTAATGATTCACTTTCTTTGGGGCTCAGAGTACTTATTTGTAAAGTAGAATCATGGACTTTGCTTATAAGTTTTACAGGCTTGTTGAACATACACACACACACACACACACACACACACACAGAGTTTTAACAAGAATGCTCACCACAATGACGTGTGAGGGAAGGGGAAATAATTCTTATGCCATTCACAGCAGTGTTTCTGCATATCTCCTCTTAGTACACAACTAATGATAATAACAGTGATGGAACATAGTGATGTTGATAGGAACATCTCCTTCACTTGCCTCTAACTGGACTCCTCTATTCCCAGACTCTACATGGTACTGGTTCCCTCCCTGCTCCATGCAGGGACCCCTGAGAAGGGCTGCCTCCTTCTCAGCCACCTGAATGAGACAGTGACTGTGCGTGCTTCGTTGGAATCTCTCAGAGAAAACAGAAGTCTCTTCACTGATCTTGTCGTTGAGAAAGATCTATTCCACTGTGTCTCCTTCACTGTGAGTGTAGCCCTTTGCCTTAAATACATTAAGCTCAATCAGTTAGGGAGTAGGGATCTAGTATTACCAAAACAAAATACTGAGGAACTGGTTTTTAGAAAAAGTCAATAAAGAATCTAAATACAGCGACCAAGTATAGGAACTAAGGATCAATGCATCTGTTTACAACCATGCAGGACAAATATTTATAGGCATATCGACAAACAATTCAGTTATCAAAGAAAAATTTCCATTAGTTTATATAAAATACCATCATGCAAAGAGAAAGGGGGAATGTGGTTTTCCTTCAAATTCAAATTAAAAAATGTACAAAGCAAACTAGGCTATCCATCCATAAGCCACCAGTGGTAGATGGACAGGAACACCTCATGTGCTTGTAAGAGTAAAAGTAGTGATTATCTATGTCCAGTATCTTTTCAGAGCTCAGTGCTTGAGGGATATTCATAGTCCAGCACCAACAAAGCAGTTTTTTCATGTTAAGACCCGTAAGACATGCTTTCACTGTGTTTTTTTTTTTTTTTTTTTTAGCATATAGCAACTTAGAAAAGCCTAGTGGGTAATTGAGTAAGGATTCCACCATTTTTTCCATTTGAGCAACTTAGTAAAGCCTAGTGTGTAATTGAGTCAGGATTCCACCATGTTTTCCATATGAATAAAGATGTAATTCTCTGTTACAACTTTGCTTAACGTATTTTTCTCCACCTTATTTTCTGTCTTCCCATTTGTAAAATGTCAGCATTCTGGCCCAAGCCAGATGAGAATGAGGGGGTAAAATTAAGTAAAAAGGCAGGATCTCCAGAGAGGACTGGAACAGGGAAGAGGGACAGAGGCTTGAGGCACTGAAGGAGTTTTCCGATTTCAGGTCCCGCAGTCTTCATCCAAGGAAGTGATGTTCCTCACTGTCCAAGTCAAAGGACCAACTCAGGAATTCAGGAAGAGGAGCACAGTGCTGGTTAAACATAAAGAGAGTCTGGTCTTTGTCCAGACAGACAAACCCATCTACAAACCAGGACAGGCAGGTATGACGAGATCTGCAGTCAGGGGCAGGAAAGCTCTTCTTCCTCTGCCTAGTCCCATAGTCCCTGCCATCCTGCTTTTTAATAGTTTTTTTTTGCCAACCTGTAGGCCTCGTCAAGGACTTGGGACTAATGGAAAATATTTCTATTTCAGTGAAATTTCGTGTTGTCTCATTGGATGAAAATTTTCACCCCCTTAATGAACTGGTAATTTTTCTATTATTTGCATAAAATTATTTTATTTGTATAAAATGGCTGGGACCGTTTGGGTTGTTCAGGGAATCACCAGGGAGAGGAAGAATCTGATACTAGTAGCAGTAATTTTTCATATTACATTGACATAAGAGCTTCATTTATTTAAGACATCCCAGGCCAAACAGTAGGTAATTCATCTCATCTTGGTCTGGTACCTAGTTAGTTGTCATTTAATTAAACTTACTGTTTAGTTTCTAATTAGGAAAGGTAGCAAAATAAATAACGGACAACTGTCACAGTACCTAAGTTCAAATGATTTTTTAGAGATTTAAACTTTTTCCAAACACACCAAAATCTCTGCTGTGTAGGAAGTTTAGAGAAGTTGGTTTGCTTCTCAACACTAACCCTCAGTATCTGTGAAAAGATGTGACTCTTTCTCTCACAGCGAAGATATTACAGCAACTCTTTATTCCAAATTGACCACGTCTCATCTTGAAAAGATGCAGTTCTCTTTTAACTCCAGTGGCACAAGGGGAAGATATGATCTTGACTTCTCTCACACACCTGTATCCACTTTATCACAAAATCGTATTGGCTTAGAGATGTATCCAGGCTATTTCTTCTTACCTGAATTGCTATGTGGCCAACGCCATCTCTAAACAAGATCTTTGCAATAACCTTGACATCCATCTCTCTGCTTCTACTTTCACTCCATCGAAAGTCAAATGTGACATCCATTTCCCTGGCAGCTTAGTCATTGTGTGTGCGTGCGTGTGTGTGTGTGGCGTGTGTGTGTGTGTGATGTCATAGATATCATATGAATAGGTCTATCCCTTAGAATGAGGACAGACATATTGTTCTTTTATGTACTGCTATGTACGCGATATCTAGAATGGTTACAGCACAGGAGTAGATATGCAATAAATATTAGTTTTTAAAAGTAAGTAAACATTTACAGTAGATGAACTGTCCCATTCCTCCTCTTTCTCCACCTAACAATTCTATCACTCATATTAATTTGCTATTAATCTGTATTTGTTCTTAATCTGCAAAATTGCACAGCAAGGGGATGTTCTTGATGGGGATGCTATAAACTCTTAGATAACATTAGTAAGTCCCATTCCTAATAGCAGTACTCTCTCTCTCTCTCTCTCTCTCTCTCTCTCTCTCTCTCTCTGTCTCTGTTCTTTTCCCTCTGAAGAGTTGTACCCAATACACCAGC